GTGCTCATCTCTCCATCTTTTAATCTTCTAATCTGCACTTATACGACCTATTTGTGTTGCAAGTGCCGTGAAACTCTTACAAAGTTATATTTTGTATATATATATATACGTACATAATATACATAATGTACTGTGGAGGGGAGGGGGGGTAGAGTGAGACCATGTTGGCTGCTAAAATACAAAAATTATATCCTGAAACGTGATTTCCTTTTATTACCCAGGGCTGATTGAGTTGGGAATCGAGTTAAGGGCCAGAGCGGACATTGTCCAGGTATTCCTATCAGCTTTGCGATATATTTTTATGTTGTTTTACAGCTTCAGGACTGGAGGTTTGATACTATGAAGTCTTAGTCCTCATAAAGGGAGGCGCCCAGTTGCCAGGGAGTGAGGGGATAGTGCGAGTCCTCTACAGAACTCCGAAATTATTGTCAATACATAAAAGTCACACATGCGATAGGAGATGCTGCCATGCATGCTCTCTTCATTTCCCTTATGAGAGATTCACGGACTTATATCCTACTTTCTGTTGTATTCCTAGAGACTTATCCTGAATAGTATGATTAATCAGAAACCTGGGTTTTGTCTTTTATTGCCCTGGCTGTTATGATGTCTGCGTCCAGGACTGATACATTATATATAGAGTGATGTTTTCAACTAAGACAGTCCCCTTTTACAATCGCTTTTGTCGATTTCTATCAAAGTTTAAAAATTAAGCTATTAATATACTGCTTATTCATAGCCACATACATTCAAAATACGTCTAAGATTGCCATCCATTGTTGAGGATAAAAGTGGCTGTCTTAGGCTGGTGGCCGCTTAACACAGTGGCATTATAATGTAAATAGGTAGTAGCCGTTTGTACTGATCATTGTCTTATACAGGGGACAGTAAGCGCGGGTTCGACTGTACCTCACTGAAAACGCACAACAGCTCCCTTGGCTTGCCTGTTCTTTTCTTACTGCCATTTTGATCCCCCTGAAGTCATACATCGTTGCTGCCTGTTAGGTGCATACTGTTGCCTTTGACATAGCGCATCTCTGCCTAATACATGTATAATGTGTGTTATAGCGGCTGGCATTCGTTACTCATTAATCGTTGATGTTGCAAGCAATCCATTTAAGTCCATCTGGGTATTTTTTACGCCAGAGACAAAAAAACCCCTACATTTTGATGTGTAGTTACTATCTGGAATCATGACAAGGCAGAAAATTATAAGCCTTGACCATAGTATAAATAAATAATAAATAAATAAATTACACTTTTATTTGTCCCAGAAGGGCACTTTGTTTTACAATGGCAAACATACATACATAGATACATAATTATAAATGCGTACATACGTAAATACATACATGCATAAATACATACATAAATACACACTATTACACAAATACAGAACAGTTTACTAACAATGCCACTGTCGGTCGCCACTGTGCAGCGCCCTGTAATTTGAGCTAGGGTTGTCGTGTCTTGCTCAAGGACACACTCCAGTGACCACCCATCTGATCCCCGTGTCACCGACACTTGCTTGACATTTCTTGAGTCAAAACTCACTACTCACTTAGCCACTGGAGCCCCCGATTAAACTACATTTTCGTGATGTTGAAAGTAATCAAAGATGCATCTTAGACATAGCTTTGGGAGGGTGTAAAAATAGAAAATTCTCCAAATTTGGACGTCAGTGGGTTGTTTGCGACAACAACGATATAATGTATCGACTTGTCGACAGAGACACGTTGTAACATTGTAAAAATGGTTTTTGACTATTTGACGTGTGCTCTGGTTTAGATTGCTTTTTCTTTCCTATCAAAGTTATATCGTTCCTATCTCTCCTCCATTCTTTATTTGTTTTTTTACTATCTGATAACACACCGAATCTTCGGCACTAATATGACCTTATCGTGTTGTAAGTGCCGTAAAACGTGTATAAAAATGGTTTCAGGTTGGAATGCTGGTGAACTGAAAACATCAACAACAGCAACAAAAGGAACAGCAGCGACAAAAATAAGATTAGTTAATAACAACATAATAGAAACTATAAATAGTAACAACAACACTGGAAAAAACATGAATTGTATCTACTATCTGATTTAAGTATTTTGCAATTAGTGTATACGTCAAAGACTTTTGACTGAAGAGAAATTGTTTATATAAAAGACAGGGGGTGTCTGCCATAGTTACACGCAACGATGAAATGTGTCAAATTCGTCGTAATCAACAACTGTCGTTTTATCGAAATGTGGTGAAAACAGGTCCTGAAAAAAAAAACTACTATCTTATTGCATTGTATTTTTTAGTGAACACATTTTCAACCTCACTGCGAGACTATTTTTCTCATATAAAATTTTACACATATGCATTTATATTATAAATATGTATAATACGTTGTTTTACGTACGCACTTGTCGATTACTTTTTAAGATGTGATGTCTTTTTCGTTGTAATGCGCATTGAGCATCTTTTAGAAAATGGAAATGCGCAGTATAAATGCTATTTATTATTATTATTACTATTATAATGGATATGAAAGATAACACATTATATTTTAAGATTATTTCATCCACCCCTATCACCTGTCGTCCGTTGGCTTGACGTCATACATTTTTAGTGACGCAAGTGTTAATTTTTCAACGACACGATCTTGCTCTCTCCTTTGAGTTCCTATTATAGAATGTGGAAATATGTCATTGTACGTGTATTCCTTTTTTCTTTAAAAAAAATAGTAATAACCATTTTCACGTTACTTCCGGAACTCCCTGGAATATGCGTGAATTCTCTTTTTGTGTGTATGTTTGTGTATGTGTGTGTGTATGCTTGTGTGTTTGTGTGTGTGCGTGTGTGTATGTGTGTGTGTGTGTGTGTGTGTGTGTGTGTGTGTGTGTTTGCTTGTGCGTGTGCGTGTATGTGTATGTGTGTGTTATTAAAAAGTAATGAAAAGTAATTACTATTCGTAATATTATGGTTAATCTGAGCTCTTATTTTTTCAGCCTGACTGCACAGACTCCCATTTTTTTTTAATTGGAGAAGCACTTACGGGGACACCGCCTTCCTCCGGTGGCTTCGTTTACGTCTTGGGAGTGAAACGCTCTTTACGTTGTTCCCAGGTCCCCCGGGGTATTGGTTCGGGGCTTTGTGGTGCCGCAAAAAACCCTAGGTCCGATTCCTGAGGGGGGAAAAGGGTTCTCGGAGAACGTGGACTTTTTTTCTGGCAGATGTTAGG